AAAAGTGGTAAGAGCATTGTGTTAGGTTATTTGTTGTGTTGGATGCATATTGAGATTGCATGATTGGCTTGCTTTACATTTCTGTTAAGCTCGATTTATGAAGATTTTGTATAATTGCTCCGATTCCATTAACCTACATCTTTCTTATCCCACCTTAACCTACATCTTTCTTATCCCACCTTAATCTTCCATTAACCTACATCTTTCTTATCCCACCTTACCCTAAGCCTCATTACAACCCAGTTTTAACCCTTTGATTTTGTGTTTATGCTTATTCATTTGGGTGGTTGGACGTGATATCTTTGCAAGCTTATGGTAAAAGATCTTCGGTGTCTTGACTTGAGCGTACACTTAACATCTAGCCTATACACTTTGAGTGCAAGAGTGAATCTCATGAGAAGTGTTGATTTCATGTGTTTTAAGTTATGTGATTGTTGAGTTTATTTTCATTGGTATCGGTTGATGGGGACTCAACTTTAACTTGTGTTCGTTGCATGCAAAATATTTTGTATTGGCATTGGAAGATAGATGATAACTATGAGATGATGTATTTGACTTGATACTTGAGGACAAGCATCGGTTTAAGCTTGGGGATGTTTGATAAGTCAGAAATATGTGTTGATTTAGTGGATTAAATTAGAATTTATATAAACTATATGAGTTCAATTGACATGTGTTTGATATTATCTTATATTTTGGAGTGGAAATTGCCGGTGTTTGAATTTCTGTGCAGATTTAAGGCTCTTTAGCATGTCAAATGGAAGAAAACGTTTATAACTAACATGGCAGTGTCGATATTACAGTTCAAATGCAACATGGCCATGTTGGTATAATCTGAAACAGATTTCTCAATTGGGCTCAATTTAGCTATTTAAGCCCAATAGAATACTAAACCTATTACACAACAGCACGCTAAAAAGAGAACAGGTCTGCTAGGGATCTGCTAGAGACTCACGCAAGAACAGAGCACGAGGACAACGGCTACTCTACTTTCTCCTTCATTCCGTTCTCTTCATTATTTTTCTTTTTTTTTTCTTCATCTTTTTCTTTTATTTTATCTTGGATTATGATAGCCCTACAATGGCTAATTTATATTTGTCTTGGTTTAAGACGATCGAAACCCCGGACCTACTACTGTGAGATCGAATTAGTTCTATTACAATTCATATATTTTTCGCATCAATGTTTCGTGTGCATATTTTTATGATTGTTGTGCTTATTTCATAGATTGGCCACCTATTATTCTATGCTTATGATCTATTGCTTGATTGATACTTGAGTCGTATTTAGATCATGTGTCTTTCGCTAGAAGCAACTAAGATAGATAATTGACCGGATTTAGGCGTTGTCGTTCTTAGGCGAAACAATTGAACAAGTTGATATTTAAGGGATTAGTTATTTATTGCTTGGATTGTCGATCTCTTGTATTTAATGCTATTGCTAGAATAATTCTTCACGGTGTTGGGAGTTAACTAGTTATAAGAGTCTCGTAGAAGGATTTATTTTGTGTGACTAATTTAGGAGATAGAATTTATATTCAACGACAGTTGCGTGGATTGTGAATTTATATTTTTGCATCAATGATTAGTGGGACAGTCTAGGGTGGAAATCAATTCAACCAAGGCAGATTCATATTATATTTATTTTTGTTTATTTATTTTTATTTTATTATTATTTTTATTTATTGTTTGATAGGTAATTTCTAGTTTAGTTAGATCACCAATTCAAATTCCCTCCTCTTTGATCACATAGTTGATAGATTTGTTTACTTCTCCCCGTGGATACGATCTTTGCTCACGCTACTACATATTTTAAAGCAAGGTTAATTTGGGTGCCTACGACAGCACGACCAATAATCTGCAATTTTTTAGTGTTGAAAAATGAATTGAATTGTTTTGTTATCTTTCTGATGGCGTATGATTAGTAATGTACTGTATATTTTAAGTGTTTGATATGTGATATTGTTACAAACCGTTAAGTACGTTTATTTATATTGTCTATAAGCGCAACATATACATAAATTACGAAAATATACTGTCTATAAACATGCACACTCTCTCAACATACAGTAAAAACACGATCACAATATACAAAATATACACGATCACAATATTCAGTTAATGAATATACACAATATTCCCACAATATATACTTAATATATACCAAGTAAAATCTTTGCATTTGCTTAAACATGTGCTGAATAAACACCAGAAAGAAATAAACATATCAGTTAATTAACATACAGAGTTGCTACAATCTAGAAATATATACATATCATAAACTATTAGCATACCCAATACAAATATTGGTTAATGAACATACACAGTTGCTCCAGAAAATCCCACAACAGAAAAAACATGTCACATCTACATTACATATACTGAACATATACAACCTAATGTTAATGATATAATAACAACTTCGAAGCTAATTACTACAAAATGAATTATATACATACAATATACTTAACATATACAAATTAAATTTTTTTATTTGCTGTTTAAAATTCGTCCTCAAAATCGGAATCCGGCGGAGACTTATTTTTTACGGTTGGAGAAAATCCTGGGCAACCTGCTTCGATTTTTCGCTTCTTTCACCATTGAAGGCTTGTTGGAGGAAATTCTGAGCAACCTGATTCTTTCGACTTGTTGGAGGAAATCCTGGGCAACCTGCTTCGATTTCTCGCTTCTTTCACGGTTGAAGGCTTTCCACCAGGCTTCGGCTTCGGTTGCCTCGTCATAATCTCTACCCATAGAATCGTCGTTGTAATTGTTTATCTTCAAATGTTTGAACTCCTGCGGCCATGGTTGTGTGTTTTTTTATCGCCATTTCTCAATGATGAATTGAAATGATAGGGCTTTTGTTTTCTTCTTTTCACATTTTCTGTTGTGTATATATATGGTGATTGGGGAATTCAAATGGGCCTCTCTCTTTAGCCAAACAAATTTAAAAGGGGGGAGCGGTGGGGAGGAGGAGAACTGCGACGGGTTGTAGAAGAGAAAAATGATGTGAGAAGAGAAGAATAGAGATGGGAAAAGAGAGAGAGAAAGCATTGTGATGAGAAAAGAGAAAAATATGGAGGTTGTTCTCTTAATTTCAGTAACTGCTCTCAACAAGTGAGTATTAATATGAGATAATATATTTTTATTTCCTAATCTAATAATCTCATATCTTTGAAATTAAAGGACATTACATGATAATCTTGCTACAGTTTTTAATCTTATCGTAATGGTGCAATAAAATAATTTCTCGAAACTAAAATGGGAGAAAAAACGTAAGCGGTACACATGAATAAGTTTATATTCTAGAGTAAACAAGTTAATGGATAGTTGGGCCTATGATGATTAATAGATCCAAGAAGGCCCATTTTAGTGGGCCAAGGCATATACTTTAGAAATCTCATATTTTCATATAATTTAATTAGGCAAAATAGTTCGTTATATCACAACATTTTACCATATTGCTAAAATATCAAGATTTTTGGACCTTGGCGGAGAATATCACAACTTTTAATTTTATTACAAAACAATACACGAAAATCGGAAACCGACCATCGTTATTATTTAAAATCATTTCACGAAAGTATGAAAGTATCATCACCTCCGAAATACTCCTTATTGTTATCAATAGTTACAAATCTTCTCCCATGATGTATCAAAGATGGCCGGTTTCCGACTTTTGTGTATCGTTTTGCAAAGAAATCCAAGGTTGTGATATTCTCTGCTAAGGTCCAAAAGTCGTGATGTTTAGCAATATTGTAAAAGGTTGTGATATAACAAGCTATTTTGCCATTTAATTATGAGCAAAATAGTATACAATATATTATATGTGTTCATTCATTTATACAATTTAACATTATTATTATTATTTTATTTATAAAAAATACTATTTACCAGTTAACATATTTTTAACAATTAATAAAATAACTCTTATAACTTACTCTATTAACAAATAATAACTATTATAATTTTATTAAAAAGGTTTTTTTTTTTTAAACAATTTTCCTTTTTTTTCACTTAAAATTTCTAATAATATATCACGTACATTTCAAGATTTCCAAAAAAATTGAACACCCACAAATGTGGATAATTTATCTGCATGTTCCACATATCAATAAATGAGAGAGTGACAACAGGCAACTTGTTTAAGAATAATTTTTATTTTTAGCCCATATTTTAATTTTAATTTCCATAAACTCTTATCGTTTTCTAATGGTGGGCTCACACGTGTCACATCATAGGTACTAATCGTTCAATTGTAGATAGGGCCGTGCACTCGAGGGGGTACTTGCACCAATTATGTATATGGACTGGAGTTGGATATTTATTTCATACTTAGAAAAATGTTTTAAATTAATGAGAAAAATTACGATCCCCTTACGAAATTAATCTGTCGAGTTTTGTAACTGTTACATCAATTATCCCGACAGTTACATAATGATCTGATGGCTACAAACCCAACTAAATGGTTTCTTAACGGGATCGCAGCATTTACCTAAATTATATTAAGTACATAAATTAAGGAAATTATTATATATTATCTGAAAATGCAATTTTTTTTCAATGTTGTCAGATAATTAGACCTATGTATCCAATAATAGAGTAATTCTATTTTAATCCACACAACTTTCTTAATTTTTCACACTACCAACAAAACTCTTACGTTTCAAATAGTTATTCCAGCGGATGTTCCTACGTATAAAAATCCGTTGGAAAAGCGACCGTTAGAATAGCAAATATCCAACGGAAAATCTTATGGAAATAAATTCCTACAGCTATTCCAACGGAAAAAATCGTTGGAATTCCTCAACTATCCAACACTTATTCCAACATAAATTTAAGTTTGTTGGAATATTCAGTGAAATTTCCAACGAAAATATTTACCGTTGGAATTTTTCGTTGAAATTGTAATGTTTTTTTGTAGTGTCATTATTCAGATTCGTTATTTTGTATTGCCCTCCACAATACCATTAAAAAAAAAAAAAATTCCTCTCTTCGCCCATGACCAACTTCACCGCTGCCGGCTACTCCACCGCCCCACCGCCGTCCCCGGCGGCGCACCGCGAGATCTCGACCCCGAACGCCGTTGCCTGCCTGGTGGCCCTCATCACGGTCCCTATGGTGGCTTACACCCTATTCGTCGCCGCCCGGTGCTGCCGGAGCCCAACCGCCGCGGCGGCTCCGGCCTCCGGAAGAAAGACGCCGGAAAGGATGGAGCTCGTATGCGGTGTAAGGTACCGGAAGGACGGATCCGCAGCGACGGCGGCGGAGGCGGTGGGGATTAACGACCAGTGCCCGGTGTGTCTGTCGGCTTTCGCGGAGGGGGAGGAGATTCGGCTGCTGGGAGCGTGCAGGCACGCGTTCCATGCCTCGTGCGTGGACATGTGGCTGTACTCGCACTCGAGCTGCCCGGTGTGCCGGGCAGCCGTACCGGTCAGGCGGGCGACGGTCAGGGCGCCGCTGGCCCGCGGAGAGGAGGACTTGCGGCAGGGCTTGCCGGATGCTGCGGATTTGATTTGATTTTTATTTTTATTTTTTTGGAAATATATTTTTTTTTTTTCTTATTTTAGTTTTCATTTTTCATTTTTTCTTTTTTTATTTGCTGTGGAGTACGGAAATATCAATTATTTCGCTTAATTTTCAATTATTTTTACGTTTGCAAGGGACAATTTTGATTCTGTGTGTGGGGGAAACTGGTGCGGGTACGTAATCGCACGGTCCCAATAAAATCGACTCTGATACCATGTAAGAAACTGGGGGAAAAACAGGTGTGGGCCCACTAACATGAAACACACCATGAGAAGGAAAAGCCCATATAAAGCCCAAGTGGGGTTCCATCCCAAAACCAATTGGTGGAAGGAAGAGTAGCCCACTAGACTTATAAGGTGAGTCTATTTTCCATGTATGAACGATGTGGGACAACTCACAAGTGATATTCTAACACTGTGAAACACTTTTTTTTTTTTAAATTTAAGTTTACTTTTGAGGCAACTTTAGACTATAAAAAATAAACGGTATTGATTTTGCAAAAAAAATAAAATAAAACCTGTCCTAAATGTATTTATTGTAGGACACATGTCAATACACTATTTGTTAATAAGTGTGGATTGCTCCATATGCCGTGTCATTCGATGGCTCCATAGCAAAACTGATAATAAATAAACAAAATTCAACATACACTATAAGTATGTTTAGTAAGTAGCATTATTTATCTTAAAACCTTTTTATTTTCAATTAAATTTTGTTCATATAATGATTTTATACAAAAAAATAAAAAAATAAATAAAATAAAACTCATCACATTAGTTTTTTCTAGGCAACTTTCAAAAAGATAATTGATTTTCTTTTTATATTTAAACTGACTTATCATCTAATTTCATAAAACTTGATATTTATATAAGTTATTTTTTAATCATCACCTATAAGCTATCATCTATCAAGTTTAAAAGTAATTTATAATAACCTATAAGTTAACTTGTCATTTACATATGATTACCAAACATATCATGTGGACATGGCCAAAACTCGGTTTTGGGTCATAGTTTTGAATGCCTGTTTTTGTGAACCGCGGTCTTGGGCCGACCCGTTTTTTTTTAAAAAATAAGTAGATAATAATAAAATAAAAATAAAAATTTAGAAAAAAAAAAGTCAAATTGTTGGTTTCGATTCTAGTTCGAAACAGGCCTGGTCAAACCACACGCTCGGTTCAAGGCTCGATGACCACGGGCCAATTAGGGTCGGTTCAGCCAGCGGTAATGTCTAATATCGAATTAATGACACTGCGTGTCTCTTAATAAATATCTTATTATCCTTTTGTACTAGGTAATAAATTATTCCATACTTACTTCATTTTATTCTTCTAATGCGTTTTTAAAGGTCATCTTAACTCTTTAAAAACTGATCAGCGGTTTCATCTCTCTTTTATTTTATCACCGCTATTCTTTCCTTCTTATTCTACTTCCTTTCTTTCGATTTTATCCCCTTTTTCGATTCTCCTTCATTCTTCTTTCTTTTCTCCTTTTTCAATTTTCCTTCCTCTTCTTCCACTTCCTCTTTTTCTTTTCTAATCGACAAGATCCTCCCCATCGTCTACGGTCGAACCCTCTGATCGCTACCGATCCAATAGAGGAGCAACTCGACGGGGTCTGCCGCAAACAGGAAGCGAACGCCGGCGACTGGTATTTTTTTCTTTTACATTTAAATTTATATTCTATTTATGACTAGAATTTAATATGTAGTTTATGGATTTATTTTATCAATATGAGACTTCTCTTTGATTTAGTTATTTTATTTTAATTTCAGTAACTTGCTGATTACAAGATTCAATTGTAATTGAAAAATGTTAATAATTTGAGGTCGGGCTCTGTTTTTTCTTTTATTTTTTTCTTTTTTTTTT